CCCCCCCCCCCCCTCCCCATGCTTCCTGGGGTGTGCGTAGCAGTAGGAGCCGCAGCTCAGTCCCACACCCCACCGGCTGCGCAGTGCCTGCCCCAGGCCCAGACCCACTCCCACTCCCTCCCCACCCCAGCTGTAGCTGCGAGAAGCTTGCCACCAGACTGCCTTGCAGCCCTACCACTATCCTGCATTTTGGGAAGCTAAGCCCTGTTAGCACCTGATCCGCCATCCTCCGTGGCTTGTCCCAGGGCTGCCAGCACTGTCTGCCTCGCCCCAGCAGAGGGAGCAACTGGAGGAGCAGCTGGACAAGCTGCAACTTCTCCCAGGGCTGCCAGCTCAAGCTAAGGCTTGTCTGGCTGGTCCTCCAGCTGCTTCCACCAGCACTGCCTGCCTGTATAGTCTATGGCCAAATAAGATTCGGTGCTGAATATCTTCAGATTCAGCCAAATAGAAGAGACACAGCGATTTGAATTTCCAAATCAAATCATCATCCCTCAGAATTGCCGAATGTAAATCCGAAACGAATACTTTCCACTTCACACAGACCTACTACCCAGATGCCTCTTAGGTTAATGATTCCAGTCTAACACCTGCCTTGTGGTAATATTTGGGTCCTTCTTCCATGTGTGTCCCAGCTATTCCCATTTTTGGTCCTTTATTTCTAGTCATATCAGCTTCTGTTTTGTCCTCTATTGTAGCATTTAGTGATTTCTACTACTCACCAGAGGCTATAGATTTGTAAAGGGTAGCATTTTATGAAGCCTTGAAGTTCAGGTAGCAGGGTCTCAATTAGCCTCCCAACCTCAGCACCATGCACAAAGGAAGCCTTTACACTGGTGTTAAGTACATATGGAGTTTAATTTGCAGGCACAGCTCCACTGGGTTATTTGCAGAGTTATGAAGGCATGCCTGGCTTTTATTATCCTGGTTTTAGTATCTTTGTTGTGTCCACCCATTTTGCTTGTGAAGCTAAGACACCCGAGTGGCCAAACTTTGATGCCCAGCTCAGTAACTGTTATTCTTGTTTCTTGGAACATGTTGATTCTCCTGGTTTTAGTTGTTTCTACATTGATTTTTGATCCCAATAACTATGCACAAATCTAGGGTCACTCCCTTGGGCTCACAAATTTGAGGATCAGGTACAAGAGAAAAAATATAACATCAGGGTCCTCCAAGCTGTTTAGGAGTCCACTGCATTCTATTAAAATATTCCACTTTTTTTCATTACCCACTCTGTTACCAATAGGAAGATTATGGGTGACAAACATATCCCTGTCTGATGTGTGTAGTTACCTCAAATACTTCAGTCAGTTTGCTATTATATAATACTTTACATACATTTTCATAGTAACTCTGGATGATGCTCACAAATTTCTGAAGGGATCCCACTGTGACAACCTTTTATCGGACTATTCCATCTATTTTATCAGTACTTTTTGGAAGGCAATGAAATTCACATAGAGAGTGGTGACTGCTATTCAGCTGGCCTGTGACATGGGGTTATTTCATTCACACATGATTTCTCATCTGAATGTTGCCTGTTCGTGTCATTGCCTCAATACTTCTGCTTTCTTTACTCTGTCCAGGGCAGGGATGCTCAACCTCTGGCCCATGGGCCAGATCCAGCCCATAGCACTGTGTCATCCAGCTCATGGGACTCCCCATGAGTCCAGAAATTTAATGGTGGGAGCAAAATGACACCATTCCCCCAGGAGCCACAGGAGCTCTAGGCCCTGCACACTGTATCTGGTGCCTGATCCCAGCATACAGGGCTGGATGTGGACAGTGATGTGCCCCAGGGCCCAATCTCATTTTGGTGGGGCTATGAGGGGGCAGCACTGAGGTCCTGGGACCCAATCCCAAGATGTGGAGGGGGGAGGTAGGAGGCAGCATTACTGGTGCCCACAACCCAATCCTGACACAGGTGTCGACAGACCCCGACCCAATCCAAGCAAACAGGGCATAGGATTGGGTCCCCAAGACCCACTCCTGATACATGGGGTAGGGAAGGGGCAGTGCCAAGCCTCAGGGGCCTGATCCAGCGCATAGACGTGCTCTGTACCACTCATCTGGCTCATGAGGCCCAATAGTTGATTAGCACTGATCTAGGATAATATGTAAACACTTGACTTGGGATGGAGAGCCTTTCACTGTCCTCAAAGTTCTTGCATTGACTGAGGTCTTCTTTCTTTGGCAGCTTCACTACATAAATAGTTTTTTCACTCCAATTTTAACATAACTGCTTTCTATACTTCCACTTCACTGACTGATCCTAGTTCAGCTTATATATAAATCCTCTCTGACTACTGAGTTGAGTTGACCATTTACTATTTGATTACAGTTTTATTTCCATAAATGTAGTTGTTCTGATGTCTTAATTATTAAACTGGCTTTATAGTCCTTGATTGCTTGGTTAGACTGCTTCTTTTTGGTAACTGTCTGGTATGCTATGCCATGTCTTCATATGTCTCTGCAAGGTGGCATTCTGTACAACAGCTGCCATTTTGTCTATACAATCTAGCTTGCCCTGCCTGACATCTTTCTAGCCTTTATTCTTTCTGGTATACACCTCCTGAAGTCATTGTTCTTGTATTCTTCTTGTCTGATAAAATTTCAATTTGATTTCATGACCTTGTGCTATTTTCTGCTGTGTATCTTCAGACACTCATTCTTTTTTAAGTTTGATCTGTCTGAATTGCAGTGTTTCTTTGTAGGTTTTAGTGGAAGTTTCTTTCACCCCATTTCTATTTGCCTCCTCATGTCTCATTTGCAGATGCCTGGTACTGGCTTGCTAATGTAATACTAAACTGTTGTGTAGCTGTCACCTGTTGTAGTTTAGCAATGTGATATAACATAGGCACCTTTTTATTCTATTTTCTTTAACAGAAAAAGACAGGAGAGGGTCCCTTTTATACTCTATGGCCCCAACCATAAGGGGACAATATCAAGCCCAGGTATACACAATACATTACATTTAAAGACCTCCTGGAGAACTCCCACCAACTTCTAAGTCCTCTCTTACTCCCTGTTACCAGCAGCCCCGAGCATTATAAATCAGTTTACAATTCCTTGAGCACCTCTGCGCTGTGTGTATGTAACAGACTGTCAAATCTTACCTGTATGCTCTGATGGGTTCTCTGAACTAGAGAAAAGTGAAAACCCTTCCTCCATCTCAAATACACTTGCCACCCTCTTCCCATGATCCTGTGTGGCGAGCTGTGTGGGACCCATGTAGGTTGCACAGAAGCGCTTGCTATTATCGCATCTCCTGCAGCATTGTTACTGCTGAGCAAGGGGCTGTAGCTGGGTTCAAGGTTGTGAGGCTTGTTTTGTTGCTTAACTGACAGGAAGCGCCTGTGGAGAATGAAAGAAGCAAAAAAAGGAGAAAATTCAACCAGTGAGTGTACCAAATCTCAAAGCCCTTTTGGATATAGATGTGTTACAAGCCCACTGCACTTCAAGGCTCTGCTTAATCATTCAGGCAGAGAAAAGCTTAACCTTAACTGAATATAAGGAAAAGTAAAACCAGGAAACCCTTGAGACTAAACCCTCTGCTTAGCTCCAGATCATGTACTGCAGTAGGACAGACTTTCACTTACCACACACGCTGCCATGAGATCTCAGTCCTAGCCTCTCCGTGTGCGAGAGGAAAATTCCAGCCCCCACCATACTCTCTGGCCTCTACTGAAACCACTAGGGGGGGAAGCGCTAATCAGCTGTACCGGATTTTGACATGCCTAGAAGAGTTCCCAGAACATGACAAAGAATGTGTGTTCCTCAGTTACGTGACAGGTTACCTCATGTTATAATTATATTACTTTCTCCTAGTACTGTCAGTACCCCTATACTGCTCTCAACCTAAGTGCCCCCTCTCCCCTCCAAGCTATAGTAGGAAATTAAACTCTTACACTGTATCTATGGAAAGTGACTATGCCATCTTCAGAAAAATGCACTGATCACCAAAAGGTGCCTTCCAAATACCACCCTTCCAGACACTTCAAGAATGCACCAAAATCCATAACTGCAATGTATCTTTTCTAATCTCCATTTAATAAGCTGACCATCAGTCTACAGCCATACTGTGAAAAGGAGCTAATCACATTTCTCAAATGACTCATCTATACCAGGGGTTCCCAACCCCTGAGCCACAGTCTGGTACCAGGCCATGAAGGGTTGACAGCCATGGACCGGAAGTGACCACGGACCAGCAAACTGCAGACTGGAAGCAACTGGCACACTGCAGACCGGCAGCCAACCCTTTTACGGATAATAATTTACTGGCTGCCCACAGTATGCCAGTCCTTGCTAGTCTGCAGTTTGCCTGTCCATGATTGCTTCTGGTCCACAGTTTGCCAGTCCTCAGCATAAAAAGGCTGAGGACTGGCAAACCCCTGAGCTATACAAAAAGCTGCACAAGTTTAATTACATGAATTTCTAATGAGTCAAGTTAAACCAGTGCAACCCCCCAACACGGATATTGCTAAACTAGTTTCATAGTTTCTAGGGTCGGAAGGGACCTGAGCAGATCATCTAGTCCGATCCCCTGCCATGGCAGGAAGAGCACTGGGGTCAAACGACCCCAGTAAGGTGGTCATCCAACCTCCTCTTAAAAACCCCCAGGGTGGGAGCCTGCACCACCTCAC